TCAGAGCTGCCCTCTGAGCCCCTGTCCAGGGCCATGGCCCCTCCCGGGCCTGGTGACCGCTGCCCTGCCCTCTGACCCATGAGTTTGACCCCACTGTGGGCCAGGCAGTGTTTGCCCTCTGGCGTTGCCTTCAGTTCTGCAGCCTCATGTCGCCCAGATTCACCTGCAGGCAGCAAATGGCAGCACAGCCCCCTTGTCCAGGGGCTGTGTTCGCTGCATCTTTTCTGCCCACCTGCCTGCCCATGGGTGCTCAGGTCTCCCTGCCCCTGGTAAATGGCTGGTCCCCACCATCAATGGTCACCGAGCAATCGGCTTGTGGCTGGGCAGCTGTGGGTAGGGACCCTGAAGCCAGGCTTTGTCTGGGACCGTCCCCATCACACCTGGCTCTCTTGAGCTGCCCAAGGTGACCCTCCCTTTTCCTGTAAGGTAGATGTCAGTGTTTCCCCTTGAAGCTAGGGTTGCAGGGTGTCATTGAACTCAGGGGGCTGCTGCTCCTTGAGGACTCGGACGTGACTATTGCGACATCACGAACTTATAAACTGGAGAGAGGTGCGAGTGAGCAGGTTCTCCAGCCCCACCTCGAAGTGACCCATCACTGTGGTTTTCTTTTTTGTATTCTTGTGCTCTGATGATTTGTTCGCTTGGGATCCCGGGGCTGTGGTGCACTGTCTTGTAGAAGGAAAATAAGTGCTTGGTGGGAGCGATTTTAAACGCGTTCATCTCACAGCAGCCTCATTAGCATCATCCCTGGTGTTGCTATTAAAATGTACATCGATTTTTATTTTGGGAGTATTGATCGAGGTCAGCAGGCAGGAAAGTTGCATGAATCGGATTTCTCCTCTGATCCAGCAGGACACATTTTTCTATAACACAAAGTATCAGATTCATCTAGCTTGATATAATGAATGTTGCATTTGTTAATTGAATGCTTTTAAATGTTCATATTTTCCCTACAAAGTATATTTTTTAATTTGTCTTGGGTTGAAAGTTTTGCTTGGATACAGCATAGTATTCCAGGGTCCTTCCTGTGAATCCCAGCAGGCCAGCCCCTTGGGGCTGCTCCCTAATACCAGTTTGAGGTCTCAGGCGGTGGTGACGGTGGACTCAGACTGGAGAATGGGGCTTCTGTGGCTCCTCACCTCGTCACCCCGGAAAAGCTTCCCTGGGGCCAAGGGGCTTGGGATGACTCTGGGGTTGATGGTGGGGATGGAGGGA